AAGATTTAACTTGATCCTTTGCTTTCGATTCGCTTTGATCATGAAATTTATCATAATTTCATATTATGGCAGTTTGCAGTACCTTTAAAGAAATATTATTGTGTATTAATATACACACTTAAAAATTATTCTGTTTATACCACTGGAAAGTAGACTCAGATACAAATCTAACCATATAAGGCACTTCTTCTATTTCAATTTGTACAATTTATAATGAATTTTCAAAGCTGACTTACATAAGTTGTTTTGAGCAGAATCTGTTGCCCTGTTTTCTAACTTATCCTCGATTAAAAATTCATATTTTTTTTTTGTATACACCTTCAAACCAATAGCCATTTATTTTAAACAAAACTAGATTGATATAGTAATCCAACGGTATAAAAATATGTAGAATTTATGGTGATTTTCTAAACTTACCATTCGAACCATAAATTTTAGGCAGCTTTCCCTATTTTGCATCTTTAGTTTATTCACTTATTCAATTAGCTTACCAAATGAACATATATGCATGAATCATAATGTCACACAACATTAAGAGTCACTTCTTACCATAGTAACTCTCCACTGGCTCATCGTAAGCCAATATTTGTTCGATAACATAAGTACAAATTAAATATGCACTCACTCGATGTCCTTAGAATTCAACCTTCGTTGGAAATTCACATTTCATCCTTTATCTTCTCCTTAGCTTTAATATTGTTTGGTCTTGGTTTCAATCATAATCGAAATGAACACCATTTATAAAACATATCAATTCAAACCACATATTAGAATCTTACTAACATAGGCACACAATAGAAAATAAATTCTTAAAAATCTTTCGGTGCTCATTCGATACTAGTTTCATGTCACAACATAAATGTTGACTATTCAAGTTCCTTTTATCCAAACTTCACAGAACATTTCCACTTAAGTTCCCAACTTTTCCATATTTGCAATTTGATCCTCAACTTTTACCAACTTTCCAAAATGGCCCAATTTCACAGTGTAACATTAATTTCTAACATGATACAACAACTATTGAGCAATTAAACATCAACCTCAATACTTTTCCATAATTTCTAAATAGGTCCCCTAACTTTCAAAAATTACATGAGGGTCCTTATAACTTTCTAAGGCTTTTAGAATCAGTCCTACATCATTTTCAACTCTTACATAATTTTTCCATAATTTTTCTCTCTTTCAAAAAATTAGGTCGAATACTTCAAGGTTAGGGTGGCATGATTTTCACTTGATTTAAATTTATTCAAGCATTAAATTAACCTCAAATCAAAATTTCCAAGTTTCTACAATTAAACGCCTAACTTAATTTAACCAAATCACTAATTTCCCCAAAACTTAGGGTTTGACGAAAACCATTAGAGGTATTTCTAGGTGATTTTAAACATCAAACAAGCTTGGAAATGATTCTACAATATCAATAACCTCAAATTCCATTATCAATTCATAAAAACACTAACATGTTCATAAACCCTAAAATTTGGGAACTTAGCATTCAAGCATGATTAGAATGCAATAATAGTACCAAATGATAGAGCTCTTCGAATAGAATAATTTTCTATTTCACGTCTTAATTCAAAAACCAAAGGAAATTGCTTGAAAATGAAAAATAAAAATTTTCTCCATACCTTAGGGAAGCTCACGACTTGAAGAAGAATAAAGGAAGAGATGACATAAATTTCTAGTTAATTTTATGTTGATTTTTCATTTATTTAAGCTTAAATGAACTTAAAATTCATTTAATAGGAAATGACAAATTTGTCCTTAATGAAACTTGATAATTACAACCATACCTTAATACATGATAATTATCATCCTCCAAAGTCAGATGTAAAAAATTATTTTTCCCTTTAGAACTATTCCCGTGCACTTTTCAAAAAATTCATTATTGTCATTTCTCATCCAACGATCCATAATGAACATGGAAAAATTTTCAAATCCAATTCTCTATATTAATTTCCATGATTTTAAAACGTGAAAATAATATTTCTAAGTTTAATTTAATATCCTTTAAAATTTTCTCAAATTTCTATTCGATTCAATTTATCGAATTTTTACCAGACTTTAACACTTTATAGCTTTTAACACATTTTGGATTAAAATCTGATTCCCAAAAAAATGTCATTCTTGATGACGAACTATTCATTTATGGAGTCAAATGCCTAACTTTTGAAAATTACACTTTTGATCCAAAAACTTTGAAAATGACCCTTTTGGTCCCTAAAATTTTCTAAACATTATATTTTGGTTACTAAACTTTCAAAATTTACTTTTTGGCCACTAAACAATATTTTGGGGTGTTACAGAAATCACTACGTCAGGAAGGTGTTATGCAATCTTGGAGCAAGCATAAATCTTATGCCTAAATCTATTTTCCAGAGATCCTATATGCATCTATAAGGAAAAATTGATGATATATTGGTAAGAGTTGATAAATTTATTTTTCCCTTTGACTTCATTGTTCTAGATTGTGAAGCAGACGAGTTAGCACCTATTATCCTTGGAAGACCATTCTAGCGACAGGAATAACCCTAATTGATGTCGAAAAAGGAGAAATCAATATGAGAGTGAATGACTAGCAAGTCAAACTAAATGTCTTCCAAACCTTAAAGCATGTTGATCATCCAGAAGAATGCTAATTCATTTACCCCACCACCGAATTCAATTTTGAAGTATAGGAGAATTGCCACGACAATTCTATTACCGAACCAGAGGAAATTAAAGAATCAAACGATGGAGAGCAAGAAGAGTCAAAATGGATAATAAGTCGATCGAGTAAATATTTTAAACCAATGAAATACTCAGGTAAGAAAGGTAAAATCGAAAAACCTTATATTGAGCAACCACGTGTTCTAGAATTGAAAACCATTGCCAGAGCAATTAAAATATGCTTATTTGGGAGCCAATGACACACTGCTCATAATTATTTCTTCTAAGTTATAGTCCGAAACATGAGAAGAGGTTGTTGATATGTTGACGCTGCACAAAAAGGCAATAGGATGAACAATTTTTGACATAAAGGGAATTAGTCTGGTGGTATGCATGCATAAAATTTTATTGGAAGATGATGCTAAACCTTTAATTGAAGAACAAATGAGACTTAACCCAGCCATGAGGGAGGTTGTGATGAAATAAATCATCAAGTGGCTTGATGTCAGTATCATATATCCTATGTCTGACAATACATGGGTAATTCCGATACAACGTGCATCGAAAAATGGAGATAACCATGGTAAGAAATGAAAGCAATGAAATCATTCCAACTAGAATTGTTACTGGTTGGAGGGTTTGTATGGATTATCATATGTTAAATAAAGCCACTAGGAAATATCATTTTCCTTTACCCGTTATTGACCAAATGCTTGATCGACTTATAGGTAAACCTTTTTATTATTTTCTTGACGGTTACTCAGGTTAAAACCAAATTGCCATATCACCTTATGATCAGGAAAAGACGACTTCACATGCTCGTATGGAACATATGTATTCCGAATGATGTTGTTTAGATTATGTAATGGCCCGACAACTTTCCAAAGATGCATGGTGGCGATATTGTCCGACTTGGTGGAAGATTTCCTTGAAATCTTTATGGATGATTATTCGGTTTTCAGGAACAATTTTGACAATTTTCTCGGCAATTTAAAGGTGTTAGAGCGATGTGAAGGATCCGACCTGGTTTTAAACTTGGAGAAATGTCATTTAATGGTAGATGAAAGAATTGTGCTTAGCCATAAAATATCATCCAAGGGAATTGAAGTGGATAGAGCCAATGTGGACGTGGTTGAGAGATTACCGCCACCCAATTTTGTCAAAGGAATCCAAAGTTTTCTTGGATATGTAGGTTTTTACAGAAGGTTTATTTATAATTTTTCTGAGATTACTAAACCCTTGTGTAATTTGGTTGAACATGATAAAGCCTTTGACTTTGATAATTCATGTGCCACATTTAAAACCTTAAAAAAGGAACTTGCCACAACACCCATTGTCATTCACTTGATTAGTGGCTGCCTTTTGAACTCATGTGGGATTCTAGCAATTTTTTGATAGGAGCTATTTTAGGTCAAATGAAAGGTAAAATTTTACATGTGATTTACTATACTAGTAAAACTCTTAATATTGCTCAGTTAAACTACACCACAACAGAAAAAGAATTACTAACACTAGTTTTTGCTTTTGACAAATTTTGTTTCTATTTGATTGGGACAAAGGTAATCGTCCATACAAACCATTCAACAATTAAGTATTTATTTACTAAAAAATATGCCAAACCTCTTTTAATTCGTTGGATATTACTTTTACAAGAGATTGACATTGAGATCAAGGATAAGAAAGGATCGAAAAATCAAGTAGCTGATCACTTGCCATGTTTGGAAGGAAACAATAAACATAATGGTTCATTGGAAATTCATGATGTATTCTCGGATGAGCATATATTAGTTGCTACAACAACACCATGGTATGCTGACCTAGTTGATTTATAAGTTTATGGTATTTTACCTCATGGTCTTAATCACCAATGGAAGAAACGGTTCCGACATGATGCTAAGCATTATTATTCAGACGAGCCTCTTTTGTTTAAACAATGTGCAGATCATGTAATAAGACGATGTGTTCCAGAAAATGAGCAGCAAAATGTGCTTCAACAATGCCATTCTTCACCTTATGGAGGCCATTTTGGTGGAACATGCACTGCGGCCAAAGTCTTACAATCTGGTTTATATTGGTCCACTCTTTATAAAGATTCCCAAGAATTTCACAAGCAGTGTGATCGTTGTCAACGCACGGGCAATATTTCAAGACAACATGAGATGCCATTGTAGAATATTCTTGAAGTCGAGTTGTTTGATGTGTAGGGTATTGATTTCATGGGCCCATTTCCATCCTCATTCGACAATTTATACATCTTACTTGCCATCGACTATGTATCTAAATGGGTTGAGGAAAATGATTCCAAAATCGTACAAAGGTTCTTGTAGAAAAATATGTTCACACAGATTGGGATGCCAAGGGCAATCATTAGTGATGAAGGCAAGCATTTCCAAAACCAACTAATTGCCAAGATGTTGCAACTCTTGAGAGTGACGCATAAATTTGCCACAACATATCACCCACAGACAAACAAGCAAGCCAAAATATCCAACCATGAATTGAAGATTATCCTTGAGAAGTTTGTTAATCCATCTAAAAAAGATTGGTCTCTAAGAATTGATGATGCACTTTGTGCTTACCGCACAACATTCAAGATACCCCTAGGCATATCTCCTTATAGATTTTTCTATGGAAAGGCTTACCACCTTTCGATGGAAATCGAGCATAAGACATTTTGGGCCATCAAGATTGTGAATATGGATTGGGAGAGTGCAGGGCAAAAATGTTTATTGGACTTCAACGAGATAGATGAATTCCATGCATTAGCTTATGACAATGCGATGACTTATAAAGAGAAAACAAAACATTGACATGTTAAGAAGATACTGTCGCGATAATTCTTGCCAGGGAAATTAATACTTCTTTTCAATTCTCGATTAAAACTTTTTCCGAGAAAACTGAAATTGAGATGGATCTGGCCGTTCGAAGTTAGTAAAACCTTTCTCCCATGGAGCCGTAGTAATCAAGACCACCACTGACGAACATGAGTTTATAGTTAATGGACAACGATTAAAGCACTACGTAGGCACCCATGTTGAGCACAATAAGGAAGTGATTACCCTTGGAGAAGTGTCAACACACCTTTTCGTCCTACTAGGATTCAAACTCCTAAAAATAGGATAAAATTTTACTAGGATTCAAACTCCTAAAAATAGGATAGAGTTCTACTATGATTTAAAATCCTAAAGATAGGATCCACAAGCACTATAAATAGCCATTGTAACTCACTATTGTAACACACGATTTACAGACAAAATACAGAGGAAAGCACGGAAAATACAAAGGCAAAGCTATTGTAAACGATTCGAAAAGGAAATAAAAGGTAGCATTTTTTTGATTCGTTCATTTCTCGCATGTGCACGTTATTTTTCTTGAGATTTGGTTCGAATAACCCAAAACGTGGGTTACGCCGATGACCAAAAATGGGTGGGGTTTTGAAGTTTCGAACCTAGATCTACCCTAAGGCGTGTTCATTTTTTATCCCCCTAATGCGTAATATCAACGTTAATTGTCTTTCAAATTTGGCCTCAATCTTTATTTTTCTTTATATTAGTCATTTTATTTATTGTATAGATATTTTTATTTATTTATTATTTACATTATTGTCATTATATAAATATATATACGTATATTTTTTATTTATTTTTATTCATTTTTATTTATTAATATTATTTATTATTTATATATATATATATATATATATATATATATATTTAAATATTTTACTTATAAGCGTATTATTACTATATATATATTGTAATTATCTTTATTTAATTTTTTTTACTTTGTCATATACGTATATATGTATGTTTTTAATAGTTTATTTATAAGCCAATTATCATTATATGTATACTTTTATATTTGGTTTATATATTTATTTATTTATTTTAGTTTTTGGTTTTTTTATTTATATTATATTATATTTTCATATTACTATTATTATTGTTATGATTATTATTTTTCTATTTTACTCATTTATATATATATATATATATATATTTTAATATTTCATTTATTTATTTATTTATTTTTCCTTTTATTTTTTTTACTTATTTTTATTCTTCAATTTTTCATTTATTCATTTTTTCCCTCTAACACATCTTATGACTTTTTAAGGGTATTTTCGTCAATTAATCAGAGGTAAGTAATTCATGATCAAATTTTACCTTTCAATTTAAAATTACAATTTTTTTAATTAAGACAACTGGAAATTATGTAGTACCGAAAGGGCGGTTCAAGGGTGCTAATCCTTCCTTGACCGTAACCGACTCCCGAGCCCGGCATATTTCTGGTAAGACGCAGATCAGGTAAGAAATAGGGTATCCGATCAACCCATTTATTTTTAAATAAATGATCGGTGGCGACTCCAATCCATTTTCCTAAGTCGAAGCCCAATTCCGGGGCCCAACCGAAAGACGGTTGCGACAGCTTGGCGACTCCGCTGGGGATTCTCAAGTGAGTCAGGCTAAGGTAATTTTCAGTTATCTTTTTAACGAAAAGGGTAAGTTTAAATTTTAAGGTAACATTTCGATCCTTATTGCTTACTTTTGATTATATTTTTTCGAGTAAATAGTTGTACTAACCGTTTTCTCAATGATTTCAGCCCTTAAAGTCTTTTTTCATCTAAGGCTCTAAACCCGAGCTCTGAACCCATTTTAAGTGGGGGTAAAAGAGATGCATTCGTGTGAATTTATTCACTGCATATGCCTAGCAAGTAGCCTTCGGGATTCATATATCTTATGTCTTCGTGTGAATTTATTCTCCGCATAGAAATAAGGGAATGTGTCCTCTCGAGTTTAACTTAGTCCACACAAGCCTGTGATGGGTTTAGGACTAAGGGTCTGGCAAGCCCAAGGGGGCACCAGCAAGGAGAACTCGGGTACCGTTTTTTAGCACCTAAACCGGGGAGACTTTGAAGAATTAGAGCCTACCCTAAAACCTCATTTCAAACCCTAGGATGCCAGAATTATTTCATGCTTCACTTTCTGTTCAAAGCATGCGAACTAGACAAATACGCGGTTAGGATTTGTTTGAAATTAGCATGCGGGATAGCGATCATGTCCGAGTAGGAATACTAAGCATGTTCGGGTAGATATCATGTGGGGTAGGATTTTTCATTTTATTATTTTAATTTACCTCACTAATTTTTTTTATTTTGTCCTCTTTTATTTTGTTTTCATCATTTGCATCATAACAAGAGGCCATTGATCCCTAAAAAGGTGTTTGTTACACAAAATAATCTGAATTAATGGATAAAGGTGTTGTAATACAAGAGATTAAAAACCCCGAGGTACGACTATGGTCCGAGAAGACTCAGAAGGAAAAGGGAGACAGTCTTCAAGGAAGCTATGTGTCAGAACTGGTTAGCTACGCCTCTATTAGCCTAAAGCAGAACGACATGCAAGAGCTTTGGGACATCTGGGGCAGTTGAAGAATGATTGGAAACAGAAGTTCAGTCAGCGATATGGTGACATTGCACTTTTTCTTCATGTTAAGACTGATGAGCCCTTAATCAGAGCCTTGGTTCGATTCTGGAACCCGGGATACAGTTGCTTCACTTTTAACCAGGAGGACATGGTACCTACCATCGAGGAGTATACTACACTATTGCACTGTGAAAGCATTAAACTGGAGCGAGCCTACATCAAACACATCAAGAGTCAGTCTTTCAAGAACAGACTGCTAAGATTGCAGGAGTTGATGAAAAGTGGGTGACTGACCGACTCTGAAACAAAGGTAACGGGCAGGGAATTGAGTGGATCCACATAAGGAAACTAATGAATGACCACCCTGATGAATGGAAGACTATAAACCTTTTTTGCACTAGATATGTATGGCTTGATCATCTTTCTGAAGATTTTGGGATGTATTGACGTAGCCGTGGTGGAACTGTTTGAGCAACTTCCGAAACGGGTCAACCTAGTACCAATCATCTTAGCTGAGACCTTTCGGTTTCTCAACCATTTTCGAAGAGCTGGCGGAGGTTGATTCATTGAATGTGTTCAACTCCTTCAAGTCTGGATTCACAGCCACTTCTGGAAGAATAATGGGGTTGCCTACCGCCGATTTAGCACTACGTATTCACCTTTGAGAAAGTTCATCACCATGAAATGGCACGAAGATGCTTCAAAAGAGAAGTGGATGAAAGTATTCACTCATCTCCAAGACCAGGATATTACCTGGAGAGCCCCCTGGTTGTTCCTTAGTGACGTTATTTTTCGATGTGGGGACTCCGACACTATGACCTTACTTGGACTTTGGGGTGCAGTTGGGTATGATCCATTGTTAGCACTTAGACAATATGGGGCACGTCAGTTTTTCCCAGCAACATGCGGAATAGCTAAATCAGAGTTTGAGTATCACGGTGACAATTATAAGAAGAGGATCAAAGAGATTGTCAATTCAGGGAAGAAAGTGTTACGAATGGATATTGTGGCTGCTAAAGACATGCTTACCCCAGACTATTTAAGTGGCGAAGATTGCAAAAAAACAACAATACCCCGGTGTCAAACTGTGATGAAACACGGACCATGGAGGAGCATCTCATGCATGTCTCTTCTGGACTTGAGATAGCCAAAACAAAGTTTAAAACTGTGAACAATGAGCTGGGGAAGAGGATAAAGGAACTTGAGGCTGAGCGCTATTAGTGGAATCTAGATGCCGACTCTTAGAAAGATTGAGCAGACAAACTAGAAAGAGAACAAAAAAGAGTCCGTTTAGAGCTCGAAGACTTGAGAAAGGAGTATCAAGATAAAGTCAAGGATAGCTCCAAATTGAAAGTGGCTTCTAAATAATGGAATGAGAGAGCTTGGAAGGAACAGATGAAGACTGCCCAGAGGCGCTTAGCAGGCAGTCAGCATCAAAACCAATGCTTGAGAATCCGGATGGCTGATCTGGAGAAACAACATGAGAGAGATGGCAAAACAATAGCTGAGTTAGAAGCTATTGTAGATGGGTTCAAGAAGCAAGTAAGCAAGCTTCAGATAGTGCCCTTCGACGGATGTTTACAGTGGTGTTTCTGTTGGGAGCAAGCACAACAAAGGGTGAAGGCCAGAGATGCAGTCATCCGAGACTTCCTGGATCAAGTACAGAAGGCAGCTCGTCATCTACACGGCCTGGCAAGGGAAACTGGAATGGTCTGACAAGACATACAACCAGTGACAGATGAAGACAGAAGACTTGTCAACCTACTAGAAGCTGTTCGGGGTCTAGAGGATTTAGTCCGAATGTACCTTTGATCGTTTTTATGTCTCTTACAAGATAAAACATTTTTGTCTAAGTAAAGATTATTTATAATAATGGACACTTTTCTGGATCAATGCCTCGAACATTTCATGCATTCTTGCATTTTTTCCTTTTTGTATCTTCATCTACATTTTTAAGCATTTTCACAAACATGAAATTAAGTCATGAAGGACTCGATGAAGTGGATTTAACCACATGGAAGCAAGATTGTAACATTAAAGAGCTTGATTAGCTGATGGTAGGACAAAGCCTGCCAAGATGATCTAAGAAAAGAATCCCCATATTCTAAGGCCTACGATGTTGAAGCTGTTAGCTGTTACCACATAAGAAGCCCCAAACATTCCTCTGAAAACTGTAAGGCGCTTGCCAAAGAATGGGGCATGGTATATACCATTTGCACTTAGAGGATTGTTTTGTTTGAACACATCTTTGATCTTTCATGTTTGCTTAATCTTTTAAAGGATTGAATTTATGCTACTTTCTAAGGTGGAGCAATTGAATAAATTTTAATCTTTAGTTCTTCGAATATTAAATGAATTAAGGATTCTTTTAATTCTTCAAGAGT